GCTTTTCAGAGTGGTGACATCCCGTGTGCTTGCAATGGGCATCTTTGCTGAAGTGTGCAGTTAGCCAAACACTTCCCAGATTATGATGCATGATTTTTGTGCTTTGTTTCCAGGAATAGCATGCAGCCCAGCAGTCCTGGGAAGGAACTAATGGAAAACAAAGCTGTGCTTGTTTCTCTTCAGCACGTGGTTTACAACATGTATATACAACATCTGCGTTTGACAACTCAAATTTTAGCGATTTTGATTAATAAAAAAAGGTTCTAGTAATGAGCTTAGCTTTAAATTGCTTCCTGTGATCCTGACGTGTGCTTGGTACTTAATTTTTTAATGCTGTAAATCATTGGGAATGAGGTCTCACAATCAAACCTTGTTGTGAGATGGGGTCCTGTAGCCAGCTCAATGGAGTCGTGGTCCCAAACACAGCTAATGAGTAGCAGTTTTCATCTGGGTAGGTGTGGGGTTGGATCCTTAAGTAGTGTGAGCTGGCATAACTTCATTGAATTCAAAAGTCGTATACTAAAGCTCATATAACTCCTCTGTTACGGAACATGAGTTTAGACCTCAGTTAAAGGAAGGCACAGGTTTGCGAAGCGGGGCTGTAAGCAGTCCATTGGATAACGTGCACATAGTGCTGACCAGCATGGATATTTGGATGGTGATGCTCAGGAAACAAGAGTCTGTCACTGCATGTCAATCTGTAGCTCCACTGGGAGCCACCCTGACTGCTGGCCGGTGCTGGGCCCAGGGCATGGGGCCAGGAAAATGTGAACCAGCTCCTAGGAGAAGGTCCTGACCACTTTTTGATCCTGATTTTATATTAGTATGCATCAGCCTGCAGTAAGCAGATACAATTGGAAAACTATGCTCTAAAGCACTGTTGAGTGGCAAGTGGGAGGCACAAGATTTCAAAATAAGGATGGACTATAAGGAAACTGGACAAATGGAAATCTCAGAGCAAGTCCAAAGTACCCATGACACAAGGGGGAAACAGATGACTGGCTCCTCTGATACCCGAATTGCAGCATGAACAGAGACTTGTCACAGTTTTGCTCATTTGGCTTTCAGATATCTATATACGCCTTTTGCATCCTGGGGACAAAGAAGGGTGTTTACTCTTTCTTTTTTTTTTTTTTCTTTTTTTCCTGGGATTTATCAGGATTACAATTGTGGTGCATGTGCTATTGCTGCTGACAGTGTTTCATACATACCACCTTGTTTCTACCTTTTCATATTTCTTTATATAGGAGGACTCTTCTGCTTTTTTTCCTCTTTCCCCTCCTCAAGCTTTGCACTGAATGCAAATTTGGAGGCAGCTTGTTGCATTATGCATTTAGTTTCAAAGCAGAAACGGTGTGTCTGAAATAATTTTTAAAGTGTACCTTGAGGAGAGACATGTATGCTTGCAAGCAGAGACTTCAAAGATTATATTTTGGAAATGGGCCTTGTTGGTTTAGTGTATGTATATTGTTGGTCACTGATTTATAGTTATCACATACAGGTTCAAGATGAATTTGATTAGGAAGGATTATATGTATAACCTTTTGTTGAAATGTATCAGAAGCTAGAGCTTCCATGCTTAACAAAAGCATTAAAGTTGCATACAGAACAGAACTGTGATTTGAAACCGATGGCCTTCAGAGGATCAGAGTTAGGGACATTTTTATAAGGAAAATAGCTATCAGATTGTCTCCAATGCATAACGTGGTTATGAAATGGAGATTAAATAACTGTCCTTTATTGTTCTACTGACTAGTCAAGATTTTTACCTGCTCAGAGACAGCTATTACTATTTTGACAAACTAGATTTTACCCATTATTTCTAAAAAAAGAAATATATTGCTACTGATATTTGAGCAGTATAGAGAACTTAACTGGCAAATCATTGTTTTACTCGTATTGTTGTGGATATCTTTTCCCTTGTTTTAATTAAAAACCAAATAACCTTTTTTTCAGAAAATTGTGCTCATCATAGGATATAAAAAAGCATTTGTGACACTATGTAACTGAGGTACCCTAAATTGCAAGGACTACCAGATAAATCCTGTATTTTGCAGAGAAGCTCAGGAATGAACAAGCTGTATGAAGCTGATTATAAATTATTTTGGAATATCAAGTAAATATGGGTGTACTTCATAGACAGTAGATTATTATGTCCACATGCATACAGGAGGTGTATTTCTTAGTTAATTGTGGAGACACCCTGTCATGCTTGATGGGCAGATTCCTGTGATGTTGAAGGGATCACTATGACATTTTCAGTACAAATGCAGTGTGATGATTACTTTGTTCTCTTTTTTTTTTTTTTTCATTTAATGAAGTTACTTATTCCACCCTGAAGTTACAATTTGAACACTGCTGTACAACCTCTTTCTCCTGGTTAACTTCTCCATCTGAGAATGGAGGAATTACATCTACAAGATCTGTTTCCATTGCTACTTCACTGTATTTTCATTTCACTTGTAGAGTTAAATGTGGTGTGTATTTAAATATGAACAAGCAGAATGTTTGAAAGTGTTTGTGGTAGTGTTTTGTCAAAACCAGCCTCCCAGAATCCTAGTTTTTCAGTATTTTTGCCTTGCACCATGTCTCCATTATCTTCAGTGCGTAAAAGTGTATGTACCCAATATCCATAGCCTTAAGTAGGGCAACTATTTCTCGTATTTACAGTTTGAGATTGTTCGGCCTTGTTCTTCTTGCTTTGGGAACTGAGGGATGATACTGACCTGAGGTGTCTTTAAGATCTAGTGGCACACTCTGCTACTGTATATGCTCATAATTCTGTTGGTCATAGTGTAGTTACATCTTTAAATGACTGCTTACAATGAGAATTTAGAAACTTAGGGAGTCAGTTGAAATATATCAGTACAGCATCAAACTGAGGCATAATGGAGCCTGTCTATCTACACTGAGTTATACCTTGTGAGGCTCTGATCTTCTTTCCTGCTTTCTGTGTATTCTAATAAATTGGTTCTATGCATATTCATTTTTAATACCTATTGAAGATTTCTGTGGAGATATTTTAATAGCTATTGCCCATATGAAATTAAATTTGAAATCTTTTTTAACAGCAAGTACATTAGTTTTTGGAAGGAGTGAAAAATGAGAGAAAAGATGGCATGTAAGTCCACAGCAAACTGTCTTATTCTCCCTCCCTATCTGAACCCACTCTGCCTCAGTTTTCTCCACCCAGCTTCCTTCAGATCTGATCATCTCAAGTTAGCAGCATCATTCAGTTTCCATGCTCATCGTAGGCCAAGTCCTTTGGCTTTTGGTTCACTGTCAAAAGTGGTGGTGTTTTTATGCTCCACACTGTTGTCCCTTCAGAGATGATAGCAGATTTGGTCGTTGTCACCAGAGGATAGCTAGGAGAACTTGAAAAGATGAGCTTGGCTGAAGATGTGCAAGATGGCTGTTTAGCATACAGCTGTTCCCTGGAACTGTGCAAGTTTCCTCTTCTCCCCATCCCAGCACAAACATACTGAAGTGCTTGGTTCTAGGAAGAAAATGTTTTCAGAATTATAAATATGGACTGTGGGCAGCTCTGGTACAGAAGACTGCCTGTATGACACAGAACATTTTAGTGAAGAGGGGTAGCCAATTTACAGTATGTGTCTAGGCAGGAGGAATGCAGAAAGATAACTGGATAGACTTCATGCAGTATAATTACACAGTAATAGAATGAGGTAAAATGGGGAATGACTTCAGGAAAGGAATGTGAAAACAGAAGTTTAATGATGACCATGTGCATGTTCGTAGTAGAATATTTTTTTCTGTTGTGAGGCAGCTTTTAAGTGAGAAATTCACTCCCCTCCTCTCCACCCTGCTGAGCCAGTGGACTTTCCCTCCCTGTTAACTCCTTAATTTTCTACAGCTGGTTATCAATCTGCTGCTAACAGGATGCCATTAACTAGCTGATGACTTCTTTCTGTTTTATGTAGAAGGCAGTACACTGCAAGTAATACTGTTAAAATAAAACCATGTTGTACTCAAATGGCCAATTAGTTTTTTTGGAACAGGATGCTTAAGACCTTATTGTATTCCAGAATGTTTCCTGTGTACAGAATGCAAGTCTATTTCAGAGCAAGTCCAGCACTGGAAAGGCATTTGCATTTTTTAGTTGTGCTGTTATGCATGCAGTTAATTGGATTATATTGATAGTCCCATAAAATAGACACATACTTCAGATATTAGGTAAATGTCTCAAATCAGCAGATAACTTCCTGTAGTGTCAAGGATTTGTTAGTGCATTTGTTTGAGCTTGGTTCTCCTGAGCTGGCTGAGGGATGGAGGAAACAGAAAAGGGGAAGAAACACTGGCACTAACTGCCAATGTATGTTGTTAGTGCTGAAGTTTTCAGGCATAGTTCTTGTAATTTAGTGTGATCTAACTTGTACTTACTGTCAAAAGTTCTCAGAGTTATTTTTCTCGCCAGATATAAGTGGAACACACTTGCAAGGCCTACTTCTTGGTGTATTCTGTGTATCTGAAGGATACATAAGGGGGTTCTTTGATTATGCTGTTTAATGGAGAGAATTCGCAGCAATCTTGCATTTTAATGCAGTACAGAGCAGAAAAGGGGAAAGAAAGCATTCCACAGTACTTTTGTATAGAGGATCTACCTGCATACATGACAGAAAATGTGCAGACTCACTGGTCATCAGGATGCTTAGAAAACTATTTTCAGGAACGAAATATACACAATTTAAGTTTTGTAGAGTACGCTACTCTGAATGTTACTGTTTTATTTAAGAAATACTCAAACAAGGAATCTGAGCTTTTTAACATGAATCTAAATCTTTCTATATGATAATAATCTTAAATTTCACATGTCATTACAGAAAGGAAACTGTATATTACACTTTTGCTTCTGTTTTGTTAACTCCAGTATTTTTATATTTCTTTAGTATTATGAATTATTTTGAAATACAGTGTTTGTACAACATCCAACAGTGATATGTTTTTAATAGTTAAAATATGGTGAATCTTTTTTCTTACAGAAGTTTTGACGTTGGGCTACATCGCTTTCTGGTCAGGTAAGCTAATGTTCATTTTGAATTGCAATTCCATGTTGAAAAGCGTTTCTGTTGTGGTAAGTAGAGATGGCCATGTTGTTGCACGCTGGGTAATGAACTGCTATGGTGCATCTTACGCAGAGCAATCCCGAAACAGAAACTGATACAGAACCAGAACCATATCTCCCACTCACCGAGATTTCTTTCTGCAGTCCCCTGATGGTATCTTGTTAAATTCATGTTGCGCTGTTGTGTCGCTTACCACCTGACTGCAGAAGGGAGGCCGAAGGGAATCCCTGAGCAACAGTGTGGTGTGCGCTGAATCCGTTCAGACTGTCGCTGCTTCCTGGTCAGGACAGCAAGATGATCTGGGCAAGGCTTGGTCACATCTGGGTTGCCAATATGTTGTCTCACAAATGGAGCTCGTTGGCTGGTGTGCAACGTACAGTATGCACACAGAGCTGAGATACCAGTTTATTTTGTGTCTGCACAGAGATGGGTGCTAGGTGGTAACTCCACAAAGCTGGTGCACCTGGTTACAGTCACATTGCATATTTATACAGTTAAAAATGTTAGTTCTGCATATTAGACATACCCTGTTATGATTGGTTAGTTCTCTTCTCATTTCAGTTTAAAGATACAGTAGTCCTAAAATTTACTACATGTGCTCAGTAAATAAGGGTGTCTCTGCTTGGGCTGGGGTCTCCAACTCAAGGGGTGTGATTTTTAGTATTATAGTGACAATAGTTCGTTTAAGGGCACTATTTGTCATTCTTCTGCTGTTAATTCCAACTTGTTCAAAAACATCTTAGTTAGCTTGCATATTTTTCTAAGATATACTTAATTCCCAAGGACAGTAGTTCCTGATTAGATGTTCCTGTATCAGACACTCTCATCAACATCTTGGCCTTCTGTTAACCCTAGAGTACATATTCTAGCTAAATAATTAGGTTAGACTGACCTTCTATACATACTTGTATAATGCTGAGTTCAGCTGACTACAATCTGAACTCAGTGCTACTTGATATGTTCTATGGCAAGATCCTCTTTCTTCTTCCATTTATATATTAGTTTGAGAAACATTTAACTATTTGGCTTGGATATCTACCCAATGCTGGTCACTAGGAACCTCTTCAGGTGTCATTCTGGAAAACCTTGGCTCAGGAAACTTCAGTGGCAATGTTCCTGAGGAAATCTTAATTTTTCTTGTACTGAAGAAAGACTTCTTTTTAAGTTTTTTCCACTGTAAATTCGGGTACCTTCCTACCTTCTAATAAGGGCTTTAATTTCCTAGAGAATTGTGACTGTGGAAGGGAGTTTTATTTTCTCAATAGAAAACTTGATTGATTTGATGAAGGGGATGGACCATGTTCTGAAGATGAATAAGGAAAGTGGAATAATTGTTGTGTTTTGTTTGCTGATATTTAGAAGAATTCAGTGATCAAAGCAGGGCACTTCAACAAGAAAAGGGAGGTTAATGCATTTGAATGCTACACCGAGGAGCTGGTTTCGCTATTTGGAATTCTTTTGTGCAAGCAAAGTCACAGGTGTTCACTAAGAATGCGTTTGCATTCATTTTTAACATACCTATCACTATCTATGGATGTATACAAAGAAGTGCGATGTGTATCATAAAAGATGAAATTTGCCATGGTCTTCAGGTCCTTAGAGAATTCATTCTATCAGTTAATTCATCCCACTAAAATGCTGTATTATCCATCTGTGAAGAACTTTACCTTGGGAGAATGAACCCAGTATGAACAGGGCTTTAAACTAGATGTGAAGGGGGAGGAGGGGCATATCAGGCTTGCTGATGACAACCTGTAGGATGATACACAAGGGTTGGAGGGATGGTGTGCTAGTATGGGCCCTCAGACTGTTGCTCAGAGTCACGCTGGGTCACTGCAGCACAGTTAAAGTCTTGTGGAGATGAGCTGGGGGTTCCTGAGGTAGTAGGAGCCAACAAGGAGACTTCTGTGACACACCCCGAGGAAAACAAGGGGTGTTCTGCTAAGAAGGTGGCATGACTGACAGCCCATATGAAATGCCTCTACACGAATGCATGCAGCATGGGAAAGAAACAGGAGGAGCTGGAAGCTACCATGCTGCTAGATAGCTGTGACCTGATTGCCATTACTGGAACTTGGTGGGACGAGTCCCATGGCTGGAATGCAGCTATTGATGGCTACAGGCTGTTCAGAAGGGGCAGGTGGGGAAAGAGGAGTGGAGGTGCTGCCCTGTACATCAACAAATGGATAGAGTGTGAAGAGCTGTGCCTGAAGGATAGCTATGGGTGGGTCGAAAGCTTATGGTTAAGAATCAGCGACAGAGACAACAAAGGGAACTTTGTGGGTGGTGTTTACTACAGGCCACCCAATCAAGGGGAGCCTACTGATGAAGCCGCCTTCCTCCAGCTCCAGGAGGCTTCACGCTCACAGGCTCTCATCCTGCTGGGGGACTTCAGCCACACCGACATCTGCTGGGAAAGTAACACAGTGAGCAGCAGGCAATCCAGGAGGCTTCTGGAATGCATTGAGGATAACTCTTTAAGCCTGGTAATACAGCCCTACCAGAGGAGGTGCAGTGCTGGACTTGATGGTCACCAATGCAAGTGAGCTCATCAATGATGTCAAGATTGGAGGCAGCCTGGGCTGCAGTGATTATGCATTGGTGGAGTTCACAGTCCTGAGGGAGATGGGAAAGGTGAGGGATATAGTCAGGACCCTGAATTTTAGGAAAGGAAAATTCCAGCTCTTCAAGGAGTTAGTCAGTAGGACCCCCTGGGAAATGGTCCTCAGAGACAGGGGAGCAGAACAGAGCTGGCAGATGTTTAAGGATGCTTTCCACAGAGTGCAAGAGCTGTCAGTCCCCAGGTGTAAGAAATCAGGCAAGGAAGGGAAGAG